TATAAGTGTTGGTATTAAACGTGTTTTGCGTTAATCTTTGATTACTATTACTATTATTATTATATGATTTATTATCACTGCTTTCTAATACCATTTGATACGCGATTTCAAAGGCCTGTCCCAACGTTAGTATCACTTCTGTCACCAAATCCTATGGATGAACACATAAAACAATTAATTAATACATTTATCATGGTTATTAATTACATTGATCATTAATAATAGTGTTACCATTGTTAATTGATAAAATTATATATAATTTATTTACTTTATTATAACATAGAACATATTGATTACAAGTATATATTCTTAAAATTGTTTTAAAATGATATAAATAGAAATCAAGTGAGAATTTATATCATCCCTCATGCCATAATTAAAGTAATAATAGAGATTGTATAAATTATTATACTCAATTTATTATTATTTACAGTCTTCACACTATACAATAATTATAACTTTTATATAACTTGGTATCAATAACTAAATAGATCTTGGTCAGTATTAATATAAATTTAATTAAATTACTTATATGTTATAAATTATATTAGCAATATAATGTTGTTTGATTATAATGGGGTTCACTATCCGTCGTGTACACAAATACATAACATTTTATCTATATAATTTTAATTGAATCATGTTAATATAATACTTTTAATATATAAAAATTTAAATGTTGGTTTAAACAATTACTTGACATTTCACAAACAGATCTAGATTCTAGATCCCGAGCAGTGTCAACATTAATTTACATTATAAATATACATTTAAATAGAAATTTATTATAAAGGGTTACATTATAAAAAAAATCACACCAATAACAAACTTACCGTATTGTTTGATGAAAACACATGACAATAATAATTGTTTGTCTCCAACTTTTTGGTTATGTAAGCAAAATGATTGAGATCTTCGCTGTCCTGACAAATGCGTTGTATGTTACGTATAGAGTGCTCGCATACCATCACCTATAATAGAGTGACCAACAGTCAAATTAAACATACATTATATTAAACAAGTAGTGTTTACAAACATACCTGTGTCTCAGCATCAATAAACTGAACCCCTTTATAGCTGATAGACAGCATTATTT